TCAGCAATCCCTCACACTAAGCATGCTTGTAGCGACAGTGGAGAGGAAAAACTCCCTTTGAACAGGAAGAAACCTCCAGCAGAACCAGGCACTGTTAAATTGGACACTGTTGCCATTGATAAAATGAAGTCTAAGGAAGTTATCAACCAGAATTGTAGAAAAATGTTCCTTTAGTAGAGTAGTGCAGTAAAGTTTCTATCCTTAACATTTCTTTCCTGCATTACTTTTACTTTTATACTGGTAGTATTAAAAATGGTACTTTTACACTTTTACTAGAGTCAAGATTTTGTTGTTTTTTACACGTAATGTATTAAAATTTGTAAAATATCTGATCAGAAGGATGAGTGGAGCTTGTATTAAGTGTTTTTAACAGTTCATTTGAGAATTAACACTATTATTAGGACAGTGACATCATCAGGTTAAAGCTTTCATAAGCAGGAGGCTAAAAATACTTTATTTAAAATGTGCTCAATGTTTCCTTTTTCTGGATAAACGTGTTGAAGTATCAGTGACTCCGCTGTAATGCTCCGTTTCTGTCAGATCTACAGTTACCTTCCTGATGAGTGACAGAAATGTCAAATTTATCTTTAAACTGATTGCAGATCTTGCCAAGAAGACCTGAGGTGATGGTTTTAACGAGCTGAGCCAAAAAGCTGCTGAATTCAGAAAGCTGTGTTGGCAAAGGTTCATAATATGGAGACACGATGTCAAAGAGACTCTACTATGAATGCAATGTGTGACATAAGGCTGGTAAACCAGGCGGGGGGGAAGGTTTATCCTGCATCTGCAGCAGAACGCAGCAGAACGCTTGCATGAGGATCTCAGGGTGTTAAAACTCAGTGGAAAAAAGCAACAACTGTCTAAAACCATTAAATATGTTTCTTTCTCTTTGCAGTGTGAGCTAAGGCTGCAGGTTTTATTCAAATTGTTTTTAATCGGCCCCCGTTGTCACCGGATCTGTCGGCCCTCAGGTGTGAACCCATACCTGTAAACTCCTTCTTGCAGCGATCGCGGACGCTTTCCTCCAGACTCTCCAGCTGATGTTTGACCTTCTCGTACTCCCGCTCCGCCTGTCGGCTCTTCCTCCTGGTGGAAATGAAACTCCGCGTGTGAGCGAACGAAACAAGCGTTTGCTAGTGTGGCCACGTTTTCTATAACCGACCTGTAGCAGTAGATTGACAGAGCGATGAAAAGCACCATGGGCAGGATCACAGCAGGGATGATTATGGCCAGAGGAATGTCATCTTTACTGGCGTATTGCACCGAGTCCACAGTCCACACTGCCTGACCAAACATCACCTGAAATTAAAAAGCTGCCTTAGATGTTTTTATATCTTCATTTAGGTCTAGATTTAAATTAAACTTTCATTGTTCTAATGGGATTTTCCTAAATATTTAAGCAGATGGAAGCATTTTCAGTTAGAGAAGTTAAACTGAAAAGGAAAGAAATGAGAAAACGAAAAAGGAGCAAAAAAAAGAAAAAAGAATTAAGTGAGGAAGGAAGAAATAAAGCAAAAGGAAAACAATGAAGGAAGATATACAGGAAAAGGGAAAAATTAAAAACAATCAGAGGAGGAATGAAGGTAAAGGAAAAACAAAAAAAGAGAGAAAAGAAACAAGGATATGAAGGAGCGAAGAAGGAAAACAACACTGCGTCAATACATCTGATCCATGGCGACCTGCGGTTTAAAGGACAGTTAGTTTACCCTGAGGTAGAGTTTGTCGTTGGCTGGGTCCTGCTCTCTGGGTCTGGCACTGGGCTTTGTAGAAGGAGCCTCCAGGATCAATTTATCATCCTGTGCAGACAGGATAAAAACAGAGAACAACAAATCAAATCCAGGTAGACTAGGCACACATTTTTATTGGAAAAGTTTACTTCCAATTTCTAAAACTAGTTTAGAAGCCTGAGCTCGGCTGTGGAATCTGTTCTCCTCTCAGATCAGTGTTATTCCTCATAAAGTTTAAGGTGCAGACGGCGGAAAGAGAAACTCTCCTGAAACTCACGGCTTTCCTCAGAATACAAGGAAATCTAAGCATGAAGGCAATTTATTTTTAGCTATGTTTGAACGTTGTGAATGAAAAGGTGCAGAAGATTTCAGTCTTCTGTCAGATAACACCTTTGCAGCCCCGCCGCTCAGAGCCGCTGCCTTCACTGATTCCCTTTCATCCGAGGCTGGATTGATTCTCAGAGCAGACATCAAGCCTTCAGTGTGGCCGAGCGCCGCGGCTCTGGAAGCCTGTGATTCTGCAGCGTGACAGCGTCGCCCTCCAGAGCCGTTTTTTAAAAGGGAATCAGATGAAGCGGCGCCGTGGCAGCTTTCTACACCAATGAGCCGACTGTCTCGCGTCCTGTTCTTTGATATCAGGAGTTAATCCGTCAGAGGCATTAAAAGCCGTCGCATACCTGCAGTATGTTGATGTTACAGAAGGCGTCCCCAACGGTTGCCTGGACCTCATCCACCGTTATGGCCTTGGAGAAACCTCGCCCCTGATCAGAGGCCGAGAGAGAGAGAGGTGAAAACGAGCAGGAGATGCAGGCTGAGGGTTCGGGTGTCGCTTCTTACCGTCACGATGATGACGATGTTCTCTGTGATGGTGTTCTTGGCCAGCTTGTCGAAGGTGGGGTCTTGGTGGTAGTTAAAGCCTTTCAGCTCCTCCTCCATGTTGTCCAGCTGTATGAAGGTCCTGAGCGACTGGACGTCGTCGCAGACGTTCACCTTCGGGGAGTAAAACTCCAGCACCGTGTCGTTTTTACTCAGATGCTTTGACAGCTGAGGAACACATGAAGAATCTGCTTAAAACCAAGAAAAAACTAAACCAACTTTTATTCCGTCTCCTCCTCTCATATGCGGCCCCCCACCGAGTCTCCTCCTCAGACAGAAAGTTATGATGAAGCGCCTTCACCTCCCTCCCCCCCGCAGCGTGTCCTTCCTGAGAGACTGCGTCAGTCAGAGGAACAGAACCCGTTTCCGGCTTCTACTCTGAATAAAAATGCTCCTGCAGATTCATGATCATCACGCTGACATTTTGCAGCTATTAGGGAAGCTGAAACGTTTGCTTTAAAAGGTTCGTCTCCCACTGATGAATGACTGGAACTGGTTTAAAGACGACAAGTCCCCAAAATCAAACTATAAGATAAAATAAAAATGGATTCCTGTTCATAGAATGAAGCATTTTCACCACATCATGACCATCAGAGCTCATAATAAGTCTCCTACCCCTAGAGATGTGTTGACTGAAGAGTCATCGGAGGAGGGTTGAACTTTCAAGGTGGCCAACTGGATCAGATCAAACCTGCTTCCCATCACAACAATCCTCCGACCGCCGCTACGAAAAAAACCACAGAGGAGGAACGGCACATTAGAAATAAAAATAACAGAGCGGAGAAATAAGTCTGAGAGCCACACAATCAAGATGGCAGTATAGATAGTAGATCTGAGAGAAGCTGGAAGGAGTTCCAGAAGCTCAGAGAGAAGAAGATTTAAAAATTAAGAACCAGAGGAAAGATAAAACAACCAGCAGAGTATCGCCCTGTCTGAGGTCACAGGAAGGAAGGAAGGAAGGAAGGAAGGAAGGAAGGAAGGAAGGAAGTTAAGACAGGAAGGAAGGAAGGAAGGAAGGAAGGAAGGGAGGATGGAAGGAAGAAAGTTAAGACAGGAAGGAAGGAAGGAAGGAAGGAAGGGAGGATGGAAGGAAGGAAG